AGATTGCAATCAATTATAAGAAATGAAATGAAAACAAATCATAAGAGAAGTGCAGACCTTCTGGTAGTCATAATGAGATGATAATTAGTGGTAATCTTTTGGACGTATTATTGCCTTAAATGGTGTGGTTTTGAGACAATGAGATCATAATTGCGTTAATGATTAGTGGATGTAATGAATCGGTGGTGAGTTTGCCGAAGAGGTCTCATGTCTGCCAAACTGTGTTGTCTTTCACACCATATGATCACTATATGTGACGATATTTATGACAATCAATACATTCAATGCATTCAATGCTTTGCACTAAAGTATGTCTAATATTGTATAACATTATTGTATGTTTGCGTCACTCATATGTGTTGTATATGTGTTGAGCAACAGTTAGTTTTCCACCATTTTATCAATTATTACATCAATCGCTCCCCCAATAAAGCCTCCGCAGGAATTTCGTAGTGTTATATAACTAACAAAAGGGTTCCAACTTTTGTGTGAAAAACCGCATGAAATACCGTGAAATACCAGAGGTTATGTAAAGTCACGTTTAAAATAAAATATTTTTAGGGTTGTCTGCCGCTGATAAAATATATGGGAGGGCTGGCTTTGTCATACATTGGCTGTGAGACATGTATACATGTCACACCTAATCTCACAGCCAATCATATTGCTGTATATTTTATTTTATAAAAATCCCAACAGACGGCGACTATTTTATATACCCTCCCGACCGAAACAGTATGATTGGCTGTGAGACATGTATACATGTCACACCTAATCTCACAGCCAATCATATTGCTGTAATGAAGGCCACGTACGTCACGTGATAGTTATATAACACTACGAAATTCCTGCGGAGTCTATACAACACCCCTCACAACCCCTCACAGCCCATCACAACACCCCCTCCTCTCCACACCTACCAGTCCTACCACTCCCAGCACTCCCACCACTCATACCACTCACAGTACAGTACTATTCCTGTTATATAACGCCTAAATAGACTCTCAACCTTTACAATCATTCACTTGACTCTCAGTTTCCCCGTTAATCACACGGGAAAGGATGGGAAGGTTTAATGCCAGCCCTTATTATAGTTGTATCATGCTTATATTTATTTGATCCAAGGTTACTATTTTAGTGATGGCATCTTTTATGCAACGTGAATGATTTATGAATTTTTAAGGCATATTAAACAATAATTAAACTAAATTTAGTAATATTTGGTGACTCCTGAGTGAGTCGAGAGGTTTTGTCCTAATGTTGTAAAGACGAGGGAAACGATGCCTTCCTTGTGGTCAACACTTGTATTCAATTTGATTAACAGTTAATGCAATCAAAATTAATGTCTATTATCTGATCGTTTAATTATGAAAATACTTTGGGTATAAAATTAATTGTGTTAAACACTAGTGTACTGTACAGTAGTGTTGCACTCATTACCAGTCATAACAAGTGTTTAAAAGTCTCTCAAAATTGTGTCACAAAAAGTGTTTACGTTTTTATTTGTATTTGAGTTGACTAAACTCACTGTTTACAACAGTAGTTAACAAACCAGACTAACATTTGTGTTCATAACTCACTACTCACTTCTGAACTAATATAATAGCCAGCTAGCGTTGTGAACGGTACTTTAGTAAATGACAGGCAACCATTTGGACATCACTTTTGACCGCAACTCCTTGTATGACATCTCACAACACCTATTGTTTGCATTGCATTTCAATTGCCTTTTCTCTACAATTAGGTCTCAATTGAGTGAATGGATCGACACTTTAGGCGAAGAGTCGGCAAAAGTAAATATATCTAATGTTTGTTTTAAACAATTTAATGGACTGATTGTGTATTACTGTTATGACTGTTAGGCACAACGTCTTAAGCAACCGATCACTTCATACAATAGACTAATCGATGATAAAAGTGATGACAAAATCTATTTACTGGTGAAAGTGGACCAAAACGTGACCAATTGGTCGGCGGTTGGGTTCGTACGCGTGGGCACCAGAAACCTGTGGTTTGCAGACAAATACAACACTAATTTAAGACAATATCAGAACTGTTTCTGCATTTTAGGTCTGCATTTGTATGAATATCTCAATTGTTAGGCTTTTATTTTAATGCTTTTTATTTACCATTGAATTAGATTTTTATATCCGAAACCAAAGACAAGGTTTGGGACACCTATTGATCTCATCGGTGATGAAGTGTGTGTCAACTCCGGCCGATCAGTTCGCGTACGACCGGCCGACACAAGCGATGCTGTCATTCCTGTGCAAACACTTTGGTCTCCAGCGACCGGTCACTCAACACAACCATTTCGTCATTTTTGAGAATTTTGGTTAATTTGCAATCATTTCTAATTTACATTCACAGACACTATTCATAACCGAATCACACATTTAAGTCAATTCAGTTACGAATCCAACTCTACTTAAAGCAATGTATTTACAAAATTGTGATATTTTTTGAGTTATAAGTTATAACTATTTTGCAATTCCATAGATTTCTATTACAATCAAAAAGACATTAATATATTATTTAAGTTAATTTATTTTACAGAATAAATAACAACAAAATTATGTTCAATAATACAACAGAAATTCCAGTCATATGTTATAAATATTTAAGAAATTTATTATTTTTATTAACAAATTATTTAAAAACGAAAATTTAAATTCTTTTGAATAAAACACTTATAAATGAATACGAAATGTAATAATGAATTAACAAATGGCTTAAAGTATGGACTCATTCCTCACTTGACATGACTTGTGATTCGTTTGAAGTCTGTTTCGATAGGACGCTTCTCTGCAGTTTCAATAACTCCTCACTCAAGAAGTACTCCAGGCTGACGCGCCGATAATAGAGTACATTAAGACACTATAGGGAGAGCAGGAGGTTTAGTTACCGCGGCAGCTAGAGTCTGACCGCTTCGCAGAAAGCGATCGGCAATTCATTCATCAGTTTGTGTTTGTGTTCAGACGAACACAACTTCTCAATCAGTTTATATACAAGTTTTGTACTTCGCGTCAATTTGTGCTCAATTAGTGTCAAATACACCAACTTTTGGGCCACTTCTGCATAGTTTTCGCCTGTCATTCAAAAGCATACAATCAATACATTTATACCCGAAAACAATGTATGCATCGCTTACTTGACATCTTTGAAGTGAAGTACTGATGAGTGATGTCATCGCCGGCGAAGAATAGAAGTGATGCTATGTTTTCATTCAACCAATTCTGAGGAATTTTGATCATTTCTTCCATCAATAGAATTACGTCTAAAATAATGGCAAAAGTAGTGATTAAGTGAATGAATGAAAGCGTGGTTTCAAGTGATATACTGTTCTTGTCTTCGGCAGTCTTGGTCTGTCTGAAGAGCATATATAACGCGAATCCCAACTCTTCTAATCCAGCGTTGATGAAGAAGGTGTCCGTCAGATCCCACCAACCGATGTATGGGACGGTTGTGTGAACCGGACTCACACTAATCAGTGGCCCAAACATAATGAGCAGTAGTTTCGCTCTGACGGCCAGTGAATGCGGTTTTAGGATCCGATTCAACCAAAACAGCGACTCATTTATGGTATTATTCTTGTTGTTCTTCTGCGAGGGATCGACGCATACATAGCGGTAGAAACAGCGCACGAAATACTCGATGGGCTGTCGGGCGCCCAATGGACTCTTCGCTATGGTTTGGATCCGTTGCTCCATATGAGCGATCGCTGCACACAAACACAACCAATTCATTAGTGGACAACAAATCATTAGATCTCCACTTACTTTGCATTGTCTTAAACACATATTTCACTTCCGAGTCATCCCATCCGGCGATCACTTTGTGGATCAGTTGTCCGTAACATTCGAACAATAGACGCATCTTTTGATTCTCCAGAGGATTGATACTAACGGTGGGAAACCTTTCGATGCGATGAAACACTTTCACCAATAGATCCATTCGCTCGATAGTCGGCAGAAGACAAGTCATACGCTTCAACAGAAGTCCTGCAAAACAAGAGTTAAATGAATGTATAAATGAATGAATGGATCAATTGGTGGACACAAGAAGAACAAGTGATTCAATGCCTAATTGTATGTAAGACTCGATGCGCTGTTTGTGTTGTGGCGAAGAAGTGGGCGACGAGTGGTTCGGTAAGTGTTGGCCGACAGACACAGCCATCGGTCGGACCAGCGATCGAAAGCCCGGACCCGAGTCCACAAAGTGGTCGCGAATGAAGTCTCGGAACCACTTATTGGTGATCGTCAGAGACGACAAGTCTTCGAGCGAGAGGTACGACAAAACAATGGCCACCACTTCGTTGGGAACCGCTGTGAATGCGCCGACACTGGCCTTCAGAGTGTCCACCGCTGCCCTGTTCTGGCATTCAGTGGTCGCACACATCGGACACAGAGTGCTGGCCGTCGGCTCACTCGCAGACATCGTTGGGATCAGTGTTTCGGTGATGTCTTCGGCACTCAATGCGTGACAACTCTTCAAAGCATTCATCAAAACAACATTCGAATCGTTCGCTTCGAATGTGACGTCACTTTCAACGCCTTCTCATTGGCTCTCACTTTCAACGCATTCAACACTCACTAGACTTTGCACTCAATTCCCAATCGCTTTCCCCGTTATGTGTATTGCGAACCAAAGGCTCACATCTTTACAGACAACACATTATTCTCATTCAAACTCTACTCCCAATACAGTAGTACTCAACACAACTATACTAACCATAAATGTCGTCAATAAATACAAAACTATTTTTATGTCAAAGTTTTGTTTGAAGTCCGCATTCATTGTATCTTTGAGTTTGATTTAGCGGTGAATTGAATGCCAAAACTTTGACAAATGCACACAATTTGTAGACCAAAACAAAAACTATAAACTTTTGATATAACAAACACAACAATTGGTGTTTGCCTTTGCAATTCATATCAACCCTAACCTAACCGTCTGTTTGATGCAATTGTTGAGTAAATGATGTCTGGATTAAGTTTGGCTCAAATATAAGCCGATTATAGATTTGTGTAGTGTTTGTGTAAAGTCTTAATTACCCGATAGTCTCTGTAATAGTGCCTCAAAAACAATATATTGAATGAGTTTATATGGAAATGAAAGTGATTTTCATAATAAGTGTAGTAATGATTGATAAATGTATAGCAAATAGTGGATTATTTTCCACCGAATCCATGAATGAATGGTATAACTGTTGTTTCATTGATGGACTCAATGGCTAGTGTTGTGAGCGTTGCGGTGATGTGTGAAGAGCTGTGCAATGGTAGGTAAGGTATGGTATGCTCTGGCAATGCAGTGGTAGTGCTGTGACTACAGTGTAGTGAGTAGTGCTGTAATAGTGGTGTAATGTGTGAGCAAATGGTGTAATACCTGTTGTCGCTATAGCTGTTGGTTGTGTTGGCAGTGCTGTGACTGAGGCAGTGGTAGTGCTGGTAGTGCTGGTAGTGTAGGACTGGTAGGACTGGTAGTGTATGTGTAGAATGTGTTGAATCTAGTGTTTCATCAGTTGTCAGTGCAATTGTATCGCTTGTGTCCACGTTTGCCATTAATTGTCTTAATTGTTGTTTCTCTCTCTCCTCTCTTTACTGTTGTCTTTGATGTCCTAATTGTTGTCCATTTGATGAGACAATATCTCTCACTCGTCTGTCCGTAAGGTATGTGCTGTTTGTCTGGTTGTCTGTGAAATTGTGTCACCCATTCCTCAGACACCACTGCAATCACATCCAGATTGTCATCACGAGTAACACTATAGGCATGTCTTAACACCAAACAAATGAGTCAATGAGTCCATGGATTTGAACACAAATACAAATGATTGCAAACATTAATACAATTGATATCAATATTACGACCGCTTATTGAGAGATAAGCGCAACAAGTATTGCATGTATTAAGACATTAGACTACTTCAGCGCAACCATTGAGTCATTAAATCCATCCATCAGTCCATCTCTTGACACCATTTCACTGATGATGAGTTCGGCCAACACTACGGCCAACGCTGTGTCGCCTCAACCCGTCGTAATGGTGGCCAACAATGGCCTGAGAGAGCCCGACGGGGACGCCATCAAGATGTTTGTCGGACAGATCCCTCGCGATTGGACTGAATCCGATTGTCGACGACTTTTCGAAGAGTTCGGCGAAATCCACTCAATCAATGTGTTGCGAGACAAGCAGTCGGGTCAGAGTCGCGGCTGTTGTTTCGTCACGTATTACACGCGTCGGGCGGCCCTTCAGGCACAGGACGCCCTCCACAACATCAAGACATTGACGTCAATGCATCACCCGATTCAGATGAAACCCGCAGACTCTGAGAACCGCAACGAACGCAAACTCTTCGTCGGCATGTTGTCCAAGAAGTACACCGAATCCGATGTGCGACTCATGTTTGCCGCCTATGGAAACATCGAGGAGTGCACTGTCTTGAGGGACACTAACGGCCAGAGCAAAGGTATGTCATAACACTGGTTAGCGTTGCCTATAATGACCGTAGAATCTCTCCCCAAAGGGTGCGCTTTCGTCACCTTCTCGACCCGTCAGTGTGCCATCAACGCCATCAAAGCTATGAACCACTCGCAGACTATGGAGGGCTGCTCTTCGCCTCTTGTGGTGAAGTTCGCGGACACACAGCGCGACAAAGACGCCCGAAGACAACAGCAGCTATTGATGCAACAGTTGTGTCACTCATCGCAGCCCAATCCGGCGGCGGCCACTCTGGCAGCGGCCGCAGCCAACCCTTATCTGGCATTAGCGGCTGCGGCGGCCGCTCAGCAGCAACAGCAACAACAGGCGGCCCAACAGCAGAACGCATTGGCAGCCGCGGCCACTCTCGCTCTGCAGCAACAGTTGGCCGCAACGATGAACACCTCTCCTGAAATGTCTTTGGCAGCGGCGGCCGCAACACTGGCCGCGTCTAACCCCATGATGTTAGCCGCTCTCTGCGGAAGTGCGGCCAACAATTCAAACAACCCGACCGGCAATTCGACACCACAACAGCAACACATGAACGGCTCGAATGACATTTACAACACATCTCAGAGCCAACAGCACCAGACGTTTTCCAATTTCGGTTTGGGTTCGGGTTCGGCAACTATAGCCCAATTGGCAGTACAGGCGGCGCAACACCAGAACAGTTTGGCTCAACAGCTGTCCCACAGTAACGGCAACGGCGGCGCCAAACAGACGGAAGGGCCCGACGGCGCCAACCTTTTCATATACCACTTGCCGGCAGAGTTCGGCGACACAGACCTGGCGTCCACTTTCTCGCCGTTCGGGAACGTACTGTCGAGTAAAGTATTTATTGATAAACAAACAAATTTATCGAAATGTTTTGGATTTGTATCGTATGATAACCCCATATCAGCACAAGCGGCCATTCAGGCCATGAATGGCTTTCAGATCGGCACTAAACGACTCAAAGTCCAACTCAAACGAAGTAAAGATAAGCCATATTAGTGTTGTTAGTGTTGCACCGGTAGTGTCATTGCCAGACATGACAGTCCCCTCTCTGTATTGTTTGTTGTGTCACTATTAAGACTAAATGGTCTTAAAGTTTTGTTTTCCACTTTTTCTGTACTCAGAGTTAATATTTGATTTATTGGACAAATTTATAGTAACTTATCGTTGAATTGCGGACCAAATATTGCACTAAATTTTTGAAATATTTCTAATATAAATGAATAATTAATTGAATTATTGATGATATAAACTGAACAGAACTGTCCTCAAAACGCCTTCAAATGAGCAAAAACTGCTTAACATAACAAAACAAATACGACAATAGCCTTACATAACTTCCTTATCCTTTACCGGATATGTGTATAAAACATATGTAACTAATTGTCCAGTGATTCAATGAATTCATTTTCTCATTAATTAATTAATTATAATTAATATTTAATATATTATATACTAATAATGACTCAAAATGTGCTCACTTTTAGAAAGCAAACATGATTTCAATTCAAACATTATTCTAGTCTTATATAACCCTTCGGTCAGACGTTATAAAAGAGCCAGAATTTACACAATTTTTCCAATTATTGACTAATTATTATTATATAATTATTATTCTGATGGAAACGTTATATAATATACAATATATATAATATAAATACAAATCAATTCAAATTGAGAATAAAGTTCAGACAAAGAGCTTTACGTTAGAAAACAGACAAAGTTTTTGATGAGAGCAGCGGTACTACCGATTCGGTAGCTTATATTATATTTTGTTATTTTATTATTAATTATATTATCAAATAAGTCGCGCTTTGATTTCATAATGATTATTGTTTGAGCCGAAAGTCGATAACAATCTATTATACTGTAAATGATATAATGATTTACTATTGCTATATAATTGATGGGACAGTGTGTTCGGTGTTTGAATCGCCGACATCTTTATATATACACATCTATTTAAATATATATAAAATTGTTATATAACTTGAGATGAATAGGAAAATCGTCACAACATATCACATATCAATGATATCATACCTCATATGTCGGTCCCATTCGAGGCATTTAAAGCTCAATCGACTTCCGGTACCGGTATTCCTATTATTTCGGTATTTATTTTTAAAAAATTTTATTTATCAGAAAAATGAGTTTTATTTTAAAAATATTTAAATATTTACTTAAGATTTTATATTTGGCTAAAAATTTTATTAATTGAGTTATAATTATATTTAAGTTTTTATATAAATACGACAAACACTGGATCTGAATATTTATTATTTATAAACTGAAATCATTTTATAATTAAATTCTTATTGTTTTTCATTGTATTTTATATTTTAAACATGTTTTAAGTTTTTCCTATTTATCACAAAAAGAAAGAATATTATAATTAATATGAATATTAGGTCTAAAGATATTTTTATTGAATTTCTAACGAAAACTAGTAAATCATCGAAACTTTTGAACATCACATCAAATGCCATCAAATCTGTATTTTTGAATAAAACAATTGTTGTTCACTATATATGAGTCGATACTTTTGTGATGAGAAATGATATAATTATTTGTCAGAAAAAGATAAAAACAAAACAATAAGTTATAAAAACATATATTTGAGAAAAGCATTGATTTGTGCCAAAAAACAATAGTTTATTAAATTGTCTGTAAATCGATAATTGTATTGAGTTTTGAATGTGAGCCCAGATTTACAATGTTTTCTCAAATAACAGTACCATTTGATCCCTAATTAATGTTTTACTCAAATGTCGACTCAAACTGCGAATTGAATTTGATTTTTGATCATAAAAGAGGTTTGCGTTAAAATATTGGAAAAAAGTATTTAAAATGTTTTAATAATTATTTGTTATGATTGTATTTATATGAACAAAATGTTTATCGTATTTAAATGTTTTGTAAACGAGGTGTTAATATGGGATAAACTCTCTTATTCTCATACTTTTATATTTAATTATTATAATTGCTATTCTATTGATATGTTATAAAGCATTTAATTGTATTGGTTTGTGGTGTGAAAAAAAACTTTAATTAATGTTAAATTAAGTAATTATTCATTTCTATTGATATAACTGTGTATTTGATTATAGCGTACATTATTCTCGATATATTGTGTGCGTCCGGTTGTGTTCATTGCTATTAATTGGTGTTATTGTTGTTCAACACATTTTAATGCCTTAGAAATTGACATATTGTTATAGTTTTACATTCAAACAACACAGACCAACAAAAGTGGACAATATTTTAACAGTACATTAATTTTACCATTTTATTTATTAAGTGAATATAAAATTTTTGTTACATGTTCATTAGCTCTAAATTAAATTTAATATAAATATAATGTTATTATAAAGTAGTGGTAACTGTTGTGTCCATATTAGACGATATGTGTGAAAGTATAAGGCGTTAAAAGTGTATTTCTGTAGATGTCATACACAACAAAGTAATACTAAGATTTGTGAACAGATCTTATAAAACAAGAAATTAGCGAAAATTGGCTATTTTTGACGTAAACTAATCTCATTTCAAATACAATTGATTTAAACATTTATATCTTTTGGGAAATTTTCAAAATAAACATCAATTCGTTATAAATTATTTGGCGTTTAATTATTTATCAAA